GGACATGGATTTGTTCGAAGTATTGATATCTGGAGATGGATTTCTCCACTGGGTTGGATTACCCTTTTTCCTCGGTACCGAGTGACTTATAGTCAGTATTGAGTATATTCAGGGATGGATTTCCCTGGGCCGGATGTCCATATGCGGTACCGAGTGGTTGAGTATATATATTTATACCTTGAGATGGATTTCTCCTCAGGGTTGGATTACCCTTTTTCCTCGGTACTGGTTGACTTGCAGTCAGTGTTGTATATATTCCGGGATGGATTTCCCTGGGGCGGATGCCATATGCAGTACCGAGTGGTTGAACACTTGAGAGTGGGAGCACATGGTGCATTTCATACATTCTGTGCATTGGCGTTTAGAATTTAGCTGCGCTTTATATCTCATATTGTGTAGATCTGTATTTATTTTACTGTTTGAGCTGACTTGAATTGATAGCATGCCTACTTTATCAGCATTGTTTATTTCTGTTACCTGTTGAGGTTAAGTTCGTCACTACCTATCAGTCCATAGTTTGGACTTGTTACTTACTGAGTTGGTGTATTCACGTTACCCCCTGCACCTTGTGTGCAGATCCAGGTATCTCTGGCCACGGTAGCGGTTGTTGATTTACTCTGTAGTGGATCATCGGAGATAGCGAGGTAGCTGCCTGGCGATCGCAATCCTGCTTTTCTCCTTCTTTATCTTCCCTTTAGTGTATTTTAGTTATTCTCAAACTATGTTAGTCTTGCTATTTTCGGAACAGTTTGTAGTAATTGCTCATGACTCAGTGACACCCCGATGTTTGGGGCTTTATTTTTCGCATTTCAAATTTTAAGTTCAACTCTTATTTTCTTTTATGAAATTTTGTTAAACATGATGTCTTTTGGTATAGTTTTTAATGAATTATGGTATTATTGTGGGAGGCGGCTGACCTAGTTTATTTGATAGGCGCCATCACGACAGGTTTGAGTTTAGAGTCGTGACATTAGATTAATCATAGAATTTAAGTGAATGATTCTTTTTTTAATCAGTTAATAATGGAGGGACAGTTGTATATGAGCTAAGAGTCAGTTTGGTTTGGCTAAACTTCTAACATAATGTTAATAATTCGCTAAGTTCCCTTTTTTGTGAATACGATTGCTTTGCTGGAAATTCATGGAAAGCTGAAGTTTACATCTTTCTCTCGCAAAATATATCCATTGATCTTTTGGCCTATCAATGAACCCCAAATATAGTAAGAATAATGAACACCGCTAGTATACTTTTAGGTGCGCTTTTAATCTATTATCGTGCTTGTGTACACGTTCGCGTGATATAATTATAATTCTCCAAATAAATCAAGATACGTGTTCGCATGACTTTGGCAAACAATCTTAAATAATTAAGTGTTGTGAATTGTGTATGCGTACACGTGAAATGATTTTTGACGCGCCAAACGAAATGAGTACATGTACGCGTGATTCGTTTCAAGATAATTATATAATTACGAATAATCAAGCAATTTAAAAGCGGTGAAAGGTAAAATGTAGGTAGGTTCTAAAATACATAATTAAACAAATTATTAAGCCAGGTTTGATTAAAAGTGACCGTGCTAAAACCACAAAACTCGGGAATGCCTAACACCTTCTCCCAGGTTAAAAGAATTCCTTACTCGGTCTTCTGATTTTGCGGACTTTAAAACAAAGTAAAATTTCCTCGATTTGAGATTTTAAAATAAACCGGTGACTTGGGACACCATAAAATTATCCCAAGTGGCGACTCTGTACATTTCGATTAATGTCACTTTAATTGGAAAAATTTCATATCCTCTCGAAAAAAAGGAGGTGTGACAACCATCATCATGAGAATAGAGTTCTAGCATAGTGACCGTATTCCACATCTGGTTTATATATCGATGCATGTAATTATACCTTGGCTTTTCCCCAATTACATAAATGATTAGGGTATATTTCCATTTTAAAGTTTCAGCTTCTAAATCTGATTTTTCAAGTTTGGCGACAAAGATTTCCTTCTACTACTTCAGGAGTAATGTAGTGAAAAGGCATACCATTAGCAGCTGATCGATTACCATTAAGGACCCCAGCCCAAGTTGGTTCCTTGGTAATTTCTGGCAATGGAACAGTAGTGTGTGCTGATGGTTGATTCTCAAATTCCTTCTTCCCCAATGTAGTATCAGCTGATTTTGAAGCTAGATTTTCAGCTTCTAGATCCTTGCCCAATGGAACAGTAACACCCTTAGCTGGAGGAGGTGTTACGCGCTATCACTCAAGTTCACTTTCATAGGAATAAGGTTCTGATTTGTTCGTTTCTGCTGTTGACTTGTTGATGATGAGGCTTCGATATAAGGGATCTGGGTAAGTATTCCACCTCCTATTTGTGTTTTAGAAGTTCCAGAGATTGACTCCATGATTACAGATGAGGAACTTCCAATGTTTTTGAGCTTGGGGATATTGTCATCTACCTTGATCTGTTACTTTTTCGGGCGACCGCATGACTTCTTTCCCGCCATTGATGAGGTCGGCGCACGTTAGCTTAAACTGCGCCGAAGAATATCACAAATGGCTATAAAAAACTTATATTTCTTATATTACCCCATTTTGATATTTTAACGTGAATTTGGTACTCGCACTCAATATGTACCCAAAATAACACTGATTTATTATGGTTTGACAATAAATTGAAGTGAACTATACATCGTTAAGGATGAAATTGTACGTAGAAGGTACATGCCATATTATCACATATTTGATGTAAATGTGTGAGTAAATTTTTTCCATTTTGATGTCCATTTCAAGAATAAATATTCTAAAACTTTAAAATATACGTCAGCCATCAATTCAAACAAAACGAAAAAAGAGGTAGTCATATGCACGAAGTATTCTGTATCTACACAGGGAATAGCTGCATCCCAAAAGTAAAAAAAATTAGAACAAAACGAACGATGGTTAAAACAAAAAGAGTGCTCATAATAATGAGGTTATAAAGTTAACAAACTAGGAACACTAATGATGTTCCGAATTAAAATAGTGAAAGATTCAATTTCAGCAAATTAAATGATTGCTACAATATGAACCTAATCGTTCTTCTCGAATCGCTCCAGTACGATGGACTGGGGGGGTGTCCGCTAGAGAAAATGCAACATGATAGAAGAGTTCGCTCCGCCGCGTAAGATGTTAAAACAGAAATGAAAAATGAAAAACTGTATTTTGGAAGTTTTCTATTTTCTTATTCATGCCATCTTTACAGCTGTACATGTCCTTATATACAAAATCTACACATCGCCGACTAAATCTATCTACTTGCTATAGAAGGTAAAAATACATAAATACCCTGAGAATGTTCTAGATAACAGATAAAACATAAAGGGCTAACTAGTAAATGTCCACCCTTAGCTAGGTTTTATCATTTAGGGTCTGGCCTTTGAGTGTATCGACATTACACACCGCCTCCTTTGTATCTCCACTGTCAACACCCCCCCTCCCCTCAAGTTGGAGGGGGAGGAGACCACCCCCAACTTGCCTAATAGAGCCCGGTGGTGAGGACCAGAAAGCGATTTAGTGAAAAGATCGGCGAGTTGAGAGTGAGTAGGAAGGAAAGAAAGAGAGATAAGCCCGGCCTGAAACTGTTGCCGGACAAAGTGGCAATCAAGTTCTACGTGTTTGGTGCGTTCGTGAAAAACGGGGTTTTTAGCGATGTGAATCGCAGCTTGACTATCAGAAAGAAGAGGGACAGGCAAAGAAGGAGACACAGAGAGATCATCTAAGAGACGGACAAGCCAGGTGAGCTCAGCCACAACACGACGCATGGAGCGATACTCCGCTTCTGCAGAGGAAAGGGAGACGGAAGGTTGTTTCTTGGACTTCCAAGAAACAGGGCTGCCACCTAGACTAATGAAGAAGCCACTGACGGAGCGCCTGGAGTCAGGGCAAGTGCCCCAATCGGAATCACAAAAGGCAAGGAGATCAAGAGAGGGAGTGGAATTGCGAAAAATCCCTAAACCAGGATCATGAAGGAGATAGCGAAGGCAATGTTTGGCAGCGGAAAGATGAGGAAGACGAGGATCTTGCATGTATTGACTAAGATGTTGTACAGTGAAGGAAAGATCAGGACGGGTCTGAGTTAAAAAATTAAGTTTACCCAACAGGCGACGATAAAGGGAAGGATCAGGTAGAGGGTCCCCAACACCAGAGAATAACTTGCAAGAGGGATCGAGAGGGGAAGAAACTGGAGAGAGATCAAAGCAGTGGAATTCATCCAAAAGCTCGAGCACAAATTTGCGTTGACTGAGGATTANACCATGCCTGGACGCCTGTCGTAAACCAAGAGTGGATTTTTAGACGACAGACCAGTATGGGAGAAGGTCGGGGAAAGGCCAGCAGGGAACTTCATATAAACTCTTCAAAAAGGTCCCCGTGTAAAAAGCGTTATTAACATCCAATGGTACAACCCATCCCTCTTACTGCAATAGCTAGGATACACCGTATGGTGGTCATCTTGACCACAGGTGAGAAGGTCTCAGTAAAATTGATCCCCTCTCTTTGAGTATCACCACGAATAACTAGGCGAGCCTTTAGTCTTTCCACAGACCCATCAGACTTGAGTTTTACCTTATAGACCCATTTACAAGGAAGTGCTTTCTTCCCAGGAGGAAGAGGTACAACCTCCCAAGTCTCATTAGCCAATAAAGCATCAATTTCTTTAGTCATTACTTCCTGCCAACCTGGATGCATAGCTGCCTGAGAGAATGAGTTAGGTTCTTGAATGTGAGGGATAGAATTAAGAAGAGTTTGGTTAGAGGGTGAAAGGGCAGTGAAGGAATAATGGTTAGGAATCACAGGGGTAAGGAAACAAGGAGTAGATACATCAGTCAAGTGGACAGCTCCACAAATGTAATCAGCCAGATAAGAAGGTGTTTTGTGTTCCCTAAGAGACCTGCGAAGGGCAGTATCCAGGTTCAAAGTAGAGGGTGGTATGCTAAGTTCACTGGTAGACATAGAAACAGGTTCAGGGGAAGGTTATGATGAATTAGGAATCTGTGTAGAAGAAGATATGTGTGTAAGAGCTTCAAGTGAAATATTGGGTTCAGTAGGCATAGGAAGATCAGTAGGCATAGGAGGATCAATAGGCATTGCAGGAGTAGTGATAGGGATAGTGTCATGTGAATTAGTTTGAGAAGACATGGAAGGAAATAAAGGGCTGGCAGTAGGAGAAATGAGAGCAAAAGGATAGATAGATTCATGAAATATTACATCCCTAGAAACAAAAATATGCTTAGAAGACAGGTCCAAAAGTTTATATCCTTTCTTGCCAAAGGGGTACCCAAGAAACACACAAGTTGTGGCCCTTGGGTCCAGTTTACTTCTTTGATGTGTCAAAGTAGAGGCAAAACAGAGACATCCAAAACACTTAAGAAATGAGTAATCAGGTGGTTTGTGAAAGAGGAGCTCAAAAGGTGTTTTATAGTTGAGTAGTTTAGAGGGGTATCTATTGATTAGAAATGTGGCTGTAAGTAAACACTCTCCCCAATAGGTAATAGGTAAGTGAGACTGAAATAAAAGGGCTCTACACACCTCTAAGAGGTGTCTATGTTTGCGCTCTACTACACCATTTTGTTGAGGTGTAGCAACACAACTTGTTTGATGAATAATCCCTTTAGAAAGAAAATAAGCAGTTGAACTAATGCTAGACCCAAGCTCTAAGGCATTATCAGACCTAACCTTTTTGATCTTGGTGTTGAACTGTGTTTCCACCATAGAGATGAAGGACTTGAGTATGGTAAAAGCATTTCCTTTAGTGCTTAAAAGATATGTCCATATTCCCCTACTAAAATCATCCACAATTGTGAGAAAATATTTGAAACCATCATGGGTGACTGATTTATATGGGCCCCATGTATCAATATGAATGAGTTCAAATATTTTGGTAGAAGAAATGTGACTATTAGGAAAAGGCAGCTTATGTTGCCTAGCTAGAGGGCAAATAGTACAAGGAGTTGTGGCTTTATTGATAGAGAAATGGGGTAAAGTAGTAATATTTTTCATGCTAGTTATGGGCATATGTCCTAATCTAATGTGCCACATATCCCGACACTGATCAACAGAATTAGACATAGAATGAATTATAGAATTAACACTAATATCTGCAGCAGGTAGGGAATTAATATTGTCTGCTTTGGCTGAATATCCAGAAAGGTAGTGTTTTGTTCGTAGGATGTAGAGTCCATTACTAGGTCTACCAAGATCCAAAGGCCTATTCGAGGGAAGGCCCTGCATAGAGCAGAGAAAAGCACTGAAAATTAGATCACAACCAAATTGGTAGCAGAACTTGTGAACAGATAACAAGTTGAATTTAAAAGAAGGGACATATAGGACTCTGTTTAAAAATCATGTCTGGGAATAGAGATACTTTTCGAGCATGAGTAACTTTGATTTTGAAAGAATTTGGTAGGTTAACAATTAAAGGTTGAGTTAGGGCTATGATGTCAAACAGAATGGACTTATCAAAGGTCATATGCTCAGAAGCACCTGAGTCAAGGATCCATGAGTGGATGAAAGACTTATCAGGGAGTATAGAGGGTAAAATAGGAGCTATACCAACACAATTAGCAGTTACATTGACTTCAGAAGTTGAAGCAGCTTGTTGACCAATTTTGACCTGTTGTAAGAGTTCCATAAGCTGAAAATATTGATCCTGACTTATTCCCACAACACTTGGTGAGACACTGTTATATTGAGTTCCTTGGTTTAAGTTTCCCTGCATATCAATACCATCTTCCTCTGTGGACACTGCATTTCCTTGTATAAAGTTTGAGTTCTGAAATTTTCTTGGCTTATTTCCTTGCATATTTGTCTTAAAACCTATTGGATAACCATGAATTTTGAAGCATCTTTCTACTGTGTGCCCAAGTCTTTGGCAGTAAGAACAAAACATATTCCTTTTGTCATTTTCCTTTGCTAGATTATACTTATTTCCTCCTCCAGCAGTCACATTGAAGTTCATTCTTCCTTGTCCAGTATATTGTCCAGACTTCTGTGTAGAAACATTAAAAGAACTGGAATCCATAGGTGATATCATTGTAGGTTGTATAGATCTCTGCCTTTCTTCTTGAAGAAGAAGAGAGTAGGCCTTGTCAATGGTTGGTACGGGGCTCATCATCATAATATTCCCTCTATAAGTAGTATAAGTCTCATTCAAGCCCATGAGAAACTGAACTAATTTTTGTCTCTCCTCAATTGCTTTGTTCTTATGCTTTGCTTCACATGTGCATTCAACACAAGTGCAAGGAACTCTTGCATCCAGTCCATTTAATTCATCCCATATTGCCTTCATATTGTTAAAGTATGTTGCTATGTCATTAGAACCCTGTGTAGTTTCTAATAATTTCCTTTGCAGGCTAAACAACTGAGCTACATCAGATTGACCATACCTGTCCTCAAGTTGTTTCCAAAGATCCCTGGCTGAATTAGAGTGCAGAACACTGGATCTGATTCCTTTCGTTAGAGAATTCAACAACCAGGCCATAACCATATCATTACATCGTATCCAAAGCTCAAAATAGGGAGAATCATTTCTAGGTTTAGAATATCTTCCATTGATTAGTCCCAGCTTATTCTTAGCCGATAATGAAATCAGCATGGACTTTCGCCAATCGGCATATCCAGTCCCATCAAACAGAGTAAACACAAGGTTTATTCCAGGATTGTCTGAAGGACTTAGGTACAAGGGATGAGAAGTGTCAACGACGACTTGATTTTGTGCAAATGAATTCTCTTCCGCCATTGTTATCCTCAGCAATAATCGAGATCAAACAGTATGAGAAACTCAAATTGAAGAAGAATTAAGATCAGAAATCAATATCAAGGATCGAAAACAGTATGAGAAACTCAAATTGAAGAAGAATTGAGATCAGAAATCAATGTCAAGGATTGAAATTGAGTTTGAATTGAGATCGAGGCAGAAATCACAAAGATCTGTAAAAAAATTCTAGAACAATCTAGAAGAAACAGTAGGGATCGAGCACCTTGGCTCTGATACCATGTTAAAATAGAAAAGAAAAATGAAAAACTGTATTTTGGAAGTTTTCTATTTTCTTATTCATGCCATCTTTACAGCTGTACATGTCCTTATATACAAAATCTACACATCACTGACTAAATCTATCTACTTACTTTAGAAGGTAAAAATACATAAATACCCTGAGAATGTTCTAGATAACAGATAAAACTTAAAGGGCTAACTAGTAAATGTCCACCCTTAGCTAGGTTTTATCATTTAGGGTCTGGCCTTTGGGTGTATCGACATTACACACCGCCTCCTTTGTATCTCCACTGTCAACATAAGATCCTCGAATCACTCTTTAGAGATACCGCGGGGAAAATATGTATATGTGATTTGGCATTAGAATTTCAACATTTACCTTTTTCTTCCTTCTGTTAAAGAGTTCAATTTCTATATGTTGATAATCTAAAGAATTTAGGCTATCAAATAATCACTACAATTCACAGTCGGCAGGAATTAACTTGATACTATCATCAGGTTTAGACGAATAAATATCAGAAATTTTATCTATCAAATTGGTAGGAATAGACATACATGACCTTCTTCTAGAAAAACTATCACAATTTTCATATTGGTAGTGAATACTAAAAATTATTCAACAAGAATTATCCTTAATAGCAGCACAATTATATACTATGTGTATAATTGTAAACAGGGAATCAGACCGTCTATTTGTATAAAGATCTCAAAAGTCAATTTATGATTTTTGTAATTAATCTCAATTTATTTCTAGAAAAATCGTCCCATGCAAAATAACATTGATACCAACATTTGCATGCAGAAAAAAAGTCGCCATCATTATCTTTTGATACCTTGATCCCAAATATATTAACTTATTCAAATTAAATTGAAATTATTTCATTTTCAAAAAGTTGTCTGTCAATACCGCGTAAATTAAAGATACTTCTCTTTCACTAGGAATGTTATTTATAACACGAAATTGAAAGCCATAGTAGACTAGCTAGACCAATGGAAAAACATAGCATATTATCATATGCACGTAAAAAAATAATGCTATCGACTATCATGTGTTCGCAGACCAAAATTATAGAAAAAAATAGTAATAGTTTTTATCCAATTTTTCCGATCAAAATTACAAAAGTGAAGAAAAATGTGAATACACAAACTTAAGCTGGCGAACAGTTTAGCCGCCACTAAAGTCAAGTAACTTGAAATGACACAGATGGAATATTATACAGTAAAATTGGTACTAAATCATTGTTGAAGAATTGACGACAAAAAAACAGAAGCAATAATGGTAAAACAAATGAAGCTTTGCTTGATTATTTTCCAATTTAGACTGGAGGTAAAGTGTAATTGACTTGGAGTAGTAGTGGAACAGAATTTGCTAGAATGCCGGATAATTTAAATAGAAAATGGAGCTAGTAAATAATTGAAATTTTCTGTGATGCCCATGACAGAAGGCGGATTGACGAGAGGGAGTCAAAAAGAAGGACTATCAAGTTTCTGAAGAAAGTGTTAGACTAATCCTGACCACATCGGTGTTGGGCTTAAACGGCCTAATGACACTCTTAACATGGTGTGATATTGTTCGCTTTGGGCCAAGCCCGCACGGTTTTCCCCAAAAGACCTCACACCATTAAGAGATCCCTACACCTTATATGTAGACTCCCAATCTTTTCAGCTACCAATGTGGTACTTTGTTCGCACACCCAACAATCGGAATGGGAGAGAAAAGTGAAGCGCTAGTTAGCTGTAATACAAGTTTACATGACATGCACGTTTTTTGGCTCGATGATAGTGTAGCCCAAGAGACACATCTATAATTAAAATCTGTTAGGACCAAAAAGTGGACAATTCGTGTAATATGCTTAAGCTATAACATTTTCCATAAAGAAATATTAAGGGAAACTGTTTCCATATATAATATAAGATTTTTAAAAGGGTCCAAGTAACAGTCACGTTTTTTTTTTCATGCTTCGTGATTCATGAAAGATACAAAAATTGCTTTGAATTCAGCCGTCAAAGTCTCTTTAAAAGGAATGAATATTGTCGATTTCTCTTTCTTTCCATACGAATATAGCATTGCGTTAAATTGTCGTCTTGCTAGTGCATTAATGTACAAATAATTCAATGTAAATACAATTAGTGTCAAGACTTCTACAGTTGTATATATTGTCTGCATCACAAATATCGTGTTTCATTAAGAAAATCATGACAATAAATCGTGTATCATATTCATATCATAATACAGGGTTAAATAGAGGGTAATTTACTATCTCTATATTGTTCGAAAATTTGAAGAGAATATCCGATTATACAAAATCCTTGGGAGTCAAGAAAATTGAAGTAGGTTCAAAATTTGCGAGATTGAAATAAAAATATCAGTGTGTCATTTCTAATTCCTTAATGCTTTTACATTTATAATTAATTGTGGCTAGTAGTGAAGGCAATTCGCGGTGGTGATTGTGTGATATATATAGCGGTCACGATGATTGTTAACTTTTGAGAAAGTGATTTCATTGTGGTTATTGATAATAATAGCGATTGTTTCGAAGGTTAATTAATGGTTATGGTTACGTAGGGATAATTGAAAGTAGTAGTTAAAGGTGATTCATACAAAAATATTTAAGTGAACAACATTTAAGTATTTAAGTTTTTTTTACGAGGTTTGAATGAATTCTATATGTTTTTATATTGGTCTTAAAGACTAAAATTTCAACTCTTGATTTCTTCGTAGTCCCATTTTTTCTCTCTATAATATGTTCCCATGCAATATAATAGTGATGCCAATATATGCATGCTGCATAAAAGTCATCATCATTATCATTGGATCCTGATTCCTTGTACAATAATTTTTTCAAATTATTAAAAAAAAAATAGTTTCAATTGGAAAACTTTATCCGACAACATTGCGCAAAAGACACTTTACTTTAACTAGAATAATATATTATAATTTGTCAGCAGATACAAAGCTAGGAGAAAACAATAACAGTAATCCATGTTTTTTTCGACTGAAAATTGAATATAAGGAAGAAAAATGTGAAAATTCAAATAAAGGCTAACAGTTTAGCCGCCACTAAAGTCAAATATAAAAGTAGATGGAAGATACAGTAAAATTGGAACAAAATTATTTTAAAGAACTGATCTGTCAATGATAATGAAAGACTTTCAGTATATAAACTGAATGTTTATAAACTTACTTTTATATTTCGTTGGGATCAAGCAAATCATGTCAGTTAGAAGTAAAGTAAAGGAACTAAATAACTTTCTAATACTAAAATGGTATTAATTTTTTTGCATAAACTAATAAGAAAAAAAATGTCAAATAAAATAAAAGAAAGAAAATATTACGCTTACACCATTTTCTCAAACCCAAGTCAATTCTAAAATGTAAAACTAAATTAACCCTCTTGAGATGAAGGTATAATAATAGTAATTAATAAGAGTTTTAACTTATACTACTATTTTACAATATCATATCAATTTTACCTGTTGCATAGTATGCCTTTTTCCAAGATTACAAATTTCAATTTTTTGTGGATAGTTACTTATAAGTATTTTTTGGGTGATCTAATCATATAATTTTTTTTTACAATATTATGTCAATTAATTTACTCGTTCAATAACTTGCCTTATTTCAAGATTTTTTTTTTTTTTTTATGTAAAGTTGCCTATAAATATTTTTTTAGTGACTTGATAATATCGTAAAATTTGATAGTTACTTATAAATATTTTTTGGGTGATCTAATCGTGTCTTTTTTTTTTTACACTATTATGTCAATTTAACTCGTTCATAATTTGCCTTATTTTCAAAATTATAATTTTTTTTTAAAAAGATTTATCTAAAAATATCTTTTGAGTGACTTGATATCATAAAATTTCTCCGTGCTAAATAAGTTAAATCTCTAATAACAATTCAAGTAAAAGGACCACAAAGGTGACACCAATTCCTCAAAATTTATTCATTGAATAAATATGCATGTCTCATTAGGACCTCAAACAGGGGCAGATGCTGCATAGAACTATCGAGTTCAACGGAACCCATTATTTTCGACGCGAAGCATAAATTAATATGTAAAAAATCACAATAAATAGTAGATATGAACTCATAACTTTAAATGTTGAACCCATAAAACTAAAATCCTAGATCCGCCTCTGACGTCAAAGGTCATCTTGACTAAAACCGACAAAAGAATGTGCATAATCTTGAAAATGATATGAATTTTCAGAAACAAGTTGAAAATACTCTTCATAGACGTTCTCCATCAACAGCATTTGGCTTTCACTATTGAACTCTGTGCATTCAGTTGGTGGAAGGCAATTATCATTCAGGAGTAATTCATCAATCACCTGAAGCTTCTCATAAATTTCATTGTCATTTTCTTCAACATTTTGGCCAGAAGATGAACAATGGACATTATTGCAATTAACAACTTCACTAGTAGAGGCAGCCCTACTACTTATGCCATCTTGAAGAGTAGCAGTGTTACTGCTTGAAGAACCTAAAAAAAAGAATCATGTCTCGAGTAAGGGGTGTCATTTGACAACGCTTCGTAAAAGAATTTCTTCACATACGTGTGTAAATAATATCTTTTTAAAATTTATATATAGAGAGAAAGCAAGGATGGGTTCGAGCGGTGGAAACAGCCTCTTGCAGAAATGCAGGGTAAGGCTGCGTACAAAAATAGACCCTTGTAGTCCGACGCTTCCGCGGACGTTGCGCATAGCGGGAGCTTGGTACACCGGGCTGCCCTTTTAGACAGAAAGCAAGAATCTTTATTGGTTCAGCAGAAATCAGTAACTTTGGCTCAAACTATGTATATGTGTTGAGAAATCTATGTTGGTCGGACTCTCCGAAAATATTGTCGGGTGTGTCGGATCCTCCAAAAGTAGTGCATTTTTGAGGATCCGACACGGGTCCAACAGCATTTTGGAGAGTCCACACAACATAGACTGCGAACCCAGTAGCGCATAAATGAGTTGTGGGTTATGTGGCAAGCGAAGGGTCGCCAGAACCCATAAACTTTAAATCTTGGATCCGACTCCAGTGTAATAATGGCCAGTAAAACCTTTAGCGACATGGGTATATACGGGCCAATAACTAATTGCCGATAAAAGTTTTTGCAGCAATTAATATTACCTATAAAAGTTTTTTTTGATACAGCGACACAAATAGATAGACACTACTTGAAAATAGTTTAAAAATAATTTCAAATTTAGTATAGAAAGTAAAAGTTTAAAATAAATAGATTTCGAAATTTAACTTACAAGTGATATCGTGATTATTAGCTGATATCTTTTGTGCAAAGTCCTGCGTATGCCACTGATTCTCTGTCTTCTTAGCTACTTGTTCTTTGTCTTCAATAATGTTACAATTTTTTTCAATCTTGACCTGCTTCTTTCTCTTTTTTTTTTCCTTGTTACTTTTTTGATTATTTTGGGAAGAAACATTTGCTTTGTGTTTTGGTCTTCTCATGTGTTTTGCAAGAGATTTATGTCTTTTTGGCTCAAGTCCTTGAGATTTGAGTTTCTTGAGAAGATGTGTGTTCCAATAATTCTTTATGTCGTTATCTGTTCGACCAGGTATTCTTCCAGCAATAAGAGACCAACGACTTCCTAGAAGATTATAAAGTCTGATAATAAGATCTTCTTCTTCAGGTGTAAAATTACCTCTCTTGATTCCTGGCTTAAGATAATTTACCCATCTTAATCTACAACTTTTGCCACACCTGAGTAGCCCTGAATATACAAACAACATTAATTACTTAATGAGTTTAAATAAATTAGAAGAATTAGCCTAATTGTTTATACTAGAGTGCACTCACCCAACTGTTTAACTAAAACAACTGGCAAATGTGTCGTAATATATGTATAACCTATGTATAATATATGTTTAACTATGTATAGGCAGTTCATAATTTATTTATGCCGGCTAAATAAAGTAAAAATGAATCCGGCCCGCTATATAAACAATAACCCCACCCCCACCCCCACCCCACCCCCCAAAACACACACACAAAAAACCACAACCACCCAAAAAAAAATTGTCTATAAAGCTTGGCCTCAGTATATAATTAAGTTTAAATTTAAGTTCGAAATAAGTTGACTGATCGCCTACTAAAATGTGGTATTGAATAGTTATCGAATTCGCTAACAGCCAACTCTAGGAAAAATTAACATGTGATTTAATTAACCAAGTATTCTGAACCTTAACATCTTTAATACAAGCCAAAACTTCATTATCGTTAAAGCACGGTATAATTTTTCTTCTCTTTTGTCATTCTTATGCAAACAATGGAGGATTCAACTACTTACGGGTTCGGCTGAATTCAATGTTTCGGGGTAAGATGTATGTTTGTGCATTGGCAAAAAACAAGTATAGATAGTGATAGATTAGAAGCCATTCTTTCACCTCAGAATCCACAATGCCTAAATTTTAATCCGCTAAGGTATGAAAAATCGGGGATTAAAGAGAAGGGAAGTCGAAGAGGAAGGTAATTAATACTCACTACTAGAAACTCGTGTTTTTTACTAATGAATATTTCCGTCAGAAATATCATTTGACAGGAAGCCATCGGAAACAGCTCCCAATGAGCATATTTCCGATGGATTATTTCTGACGAACTCAGAAATGCGTCAGAAAAATAGAATCAAAGAAACAAGTGATTATTACCAGCTTTTATAGGAAGAGATCTCCATCCAACTTCTCCATGTTCTTTAATATAATCAGTAAGTAGTTTATCTTCTTTTGCAGTCCATGTACCTTTTCTCAGACCTTCTTTAGAACAACATGGTTTTCTTCCCATTCCTATTCTTATTCACCAAATGCAGTTTGATTTTAGATATAATTGAGGGATTAATTTGGTAATTGTGTTTTTGGTTAAGCACAAGAAAGAGAACCTTAAATAATCCAAGCTACTTTTGGAGTGTGTGTATATATAGTAGTATATTTAAGTACAATGAAGAAGCTGAACTAGGTCAAGAAGTTATTAAATCATTCCCCACGTGTAATGTGTCTTATTTACTTAATTAGTCTATTTCAAAAATATATTCTTTTACAAAATTTTTGGGAAACCCGCAACTGCTATCTTTCAGACAATATGCTCACTATGCAATAGCTCACATAATGTAACATTCTACCACACTAGACAAGTCGGTACGACGAGTTCTGACTGGGAAGTCTATTTAAAAGATATTACATTTTATATTTAGTAGAATTTAATTTCCGATATTATCATTATATCCTTAATGACACTCTCTTATAGAAATATTGATATATTTAAAGTCACAAGAGTTAAAAGAACATTATTAATGTGTTATCGACACTTTTAATTTAAAATCACAAAATTTTAAAAAATAAATTACATTCTTATATACTTCATATTCCATCAAATTAATATACGTGAAATGAATCAAAAGAAAAAAGGAAAAACAACATATCTTTCACGCGCTGGCACAAAAAGGAAAAAAATACAAAGATAGTATTATTTTTCTCCTCCTTTTTTCCCTATGATTGGTGGCCGGTGGGGGTCGACGGGAGAAATTAAGAGTGGGCGTTTTCAACGCTTTAAATGATTAAACAAAAGGCAATAGCAATGTTTATTAAATACTTATATATTACACTTACTTGAAATTTAGTCGAGAAAAGATTTAAATAGAAAAATTATAACTAAAATCAAACTTAATAAGAGGCAAGTTTAAACTAATTTCACATACAGTTTCTTTTGAAATTTATTTTTCTAATTTTTTGAGATGCAAATTTTTTTTATTTAGTTTTTGATAATTGATTTCTTCTAATAATTATCGACAATAAAAAGCCAATCCATTTAATATTTTTTCCACATTTCTGATCTCATATAAAAATTTGAATTTCAAATTTGAAAAACTTCTTAGACATCTGCTACATAATGTCACGACCCAAAATCCAACTAGTCGTGATGACACATAACCCAACCTGCTAGGTAAGCCAGTTTAACAATAATTCAACTTCAAATGAGATTTACTGAGAAAATAATGATGAAATAATTGAACTCTTATAGAACTTCCCAAGGACTGGTACATAGTACAACTCACGAGCTTCTAAGATTTAGAGTTTACAAAGCTGGTATGAAATAAATACCTCATCTGTTCGAAATATACATAAACAGATTCATAAATTTAAAGCTACCAAGAACAAGAGGCAGTTATGACAGGTACGCAGATACATCCTTAATTCGAGCTCCCTCTACACACAGCAACATCAACATCCAAAATCTGCACGCAAGGTGCAGAAGTGTAGTATAAGTACAATCGACCATATGTACTCAATAACTAACAAACCTAACATTAGGTTGAAAGTAGTGACGAGCTGGGACAAAGGTCGGATTCCAACACTAATAGCCAACAACAGTTCATAACAATATAATTAAAGTGATAAAAGAAATTACTCAGAGATATAATGCTCAACTTGTTCACAGTTCCAAAAAATAGGCATACTTTTCAAGTATAACAGTGAAAACCCAAATCTTTTACTAAAATCATCAATATGTAAGTAAATCGAAAAAACTGTGATTTTTTCCAAAAACTTCCGACAACAGATAAGATATTGCATTATCAAATAACATGAGGAAAGTACATCTGTATGCCTACAGGTCTATGTGTATGCGAAGTCATGAATGATGCAATACCGTACAACAGGAGGAAAAATGCATCTCTATGCCTGTATGTCAAGTGTGCATGTCGAATGCAATGCAACTCAGTGATAAAACCATATGCATACTCTTAGTGTATCAATTCACTCAGTCCTTCCAATCACTTGACACTCGCTCTCGGCACTCGCTCTACACTCGCACTTAGTAGGTACCTGCACTCATTGTGGGTGTGCAGACTCCGGAGGGGCAGATCCAGCCAAAGCTCTATAATAAGCCAATCATGGCATGAATCAATAAAGCCTGTTGCGGCGTGCAGCCCGATCCCACAAACATCCTCACAATTATGCCCTCAGCCTCACTCAGTCATCAATCTCTCCAGTCTCTCGGGCTCACAATGTCATGAAAATCAGCCCAAAATGATGATATGATGTATCAATAAATAGCAACAGAGACTGAGATATATATGCCAATGAATAAGTATGACTAAGTATGTAACTGCAATTTAAGCAAATAACTCAACGGCAGACATGACCTTGGTGGGTCCCAACAGAGTAAGCATGTAGCCTAAACATAGTTTCTAACATGGATCACATCTCAATCACTCTACTATGTAGAGATTTCATGGATAAAAATAGGATTAGGTAGCTACACAGTACCACAGAAACAACCAAGTCATAATTCACACAGTGCCTACACGCCCGTCACCTAGCATGTGTGTCACCTCAACACCAACATATAATATGTATATTTAGGGGTTCATACCCTCTGTATCAAGTTTAGAAGTGTCACTTACCTCGAACAAGCCAAATCCAATACCGAGTGTTGGCCCAAGAACAGGTGAAGTTTTGAAGATTGACAAAAGAACTCAGTCATGGATCAAGTCCATCTTGTGAAGCACAGTCATGATCAACCTATACATGTGAGATGCACGTGATGGAGATAAATTTAACTGATCAAGAAGCAATATCTCCTGATCTGATCGAAAAGGTTGCACATTGGATAAAGAGAGAAAGACTCCTTACATGAAGAGAACACAGTTTATGAAGAAGATAATGTTAGAGTTTGAGATCACTAGGAACTCTTCTACGATAGAAGAGTAGTAATTGAATTCCAGTCAAACTCTGATTACTAACCCATTAAATATTAGTGCTGTTCTCTTTCACAGGTAATGCACATAAGCAGAATCTAAACTTAAATTGAGAGCAAAAGAGCAAGGCGATTTTGCAAGCAATTTATGTGTGATTCGAGTGTGCAATTCTGAAGCTATTTGAACGAGATAGAAGAACCAGTTCCATGTGTCTATCTTTTATTCTAGTTCAATTATAGTAGGTGATTTTATATTGCACCTTTCAGCTCTCATAGAAGCAATTGTATTAGGTACTTAGAGTTTCAAGTTAGTGTTAACTTGAAGTTGTCGCAACAGTTGAGGCTGTGTGCCACAACGGGATTAGAGTTAATCCTTAGGTTTACAAAGAGTTTTGTAAATGCTGTTTTGGCTCAGTGATTATAGTGAAAGTTTGGAAAAATCCTACTGAGTAGTAGGTCGTGGTTTTTTCACCTTTTGAGCCAGGTGTTTTCCACGTAAAAATCTCTGTGTTCTTTATTTTCTTTACTTCTTATTCCGCAAACAGTAGTAGTTGGAACACATAGAAGAACCAGGTCCTTCTATAGTTCAGTTAAGGCGAAAATTGGGTACCACAAAAATCACCCTCCCCCCCTCTTGTGTGGTATTGACGTTTAAAACATCAATTGGTATCAAAGCGGGTTATCCTTGAAGAGGTTAACACCTTAGGAAAAGATCAAGATTAGTGCACCACCTGGAAACTGGGAAGGACAATCCACTGCTAGGACTGCACTCTTTAACGGTCAGTACTATTCTTTGTGGAAGAACAGGATGAGAGATCATATCATAGGAGAAGACTATAAACTCTGGGACATAGTCACTGATGGTCCCCTGGCGACTACAAAGAAGAATGCTGAAGGAGTGGATGTGCCAAAGACAAGAGCAGACTGCACTGCTGAAGACTTGAAGAAATGGGAGAAGAATGCCAAAGCCAAGAAATGGCTTGTGTGTGGACTGGGTCCAGACGAGTAGAGCAGGATTCAAAGTTGTACCACTGCAAAGGAGATATGGGACACTTTACAAGTGGCTCATGAAGGAACTCCTCAAGTAAAGATATCAAGAGGAACACTGCTATACTCTCAATATAAGAATTTCACTATGAAGGAAGGAGAAACTATCCAGGAGATGTACACAAGGTTCACAACACTAACAAATGAACTTAAATCTCTTGGGAGAATTATCCTTGAAGAAGACAAGGTTGAGAAAATCTTGACAAGGGTCTTACCAATGACTTGGGAAAGCAAAATCACTGCTATTCAGGAATCGAAAAATATTGCTACTCTCAAGTTGGATGAACTGATTGGAAACCTCACTGTCTATGAACTGAGAAGGCCAACCATGAAAATTGATGCACCCAAGAAGGAGAGGAGTCTGGCTCTCAGAATAACTGAAGGTGCAGATCTGGAGGATAATGAAATGGCCATGATCACAAGGAATTTCAAAAAGTACCTAATGAGAGGAAATGGTACTTCAAGAGGTACAACCTTCAACAAACCAAGGGCTCTAAGAAACAAACCAACGAGGGTTGTTACAAATGTGGCAAGACTGGTCACATGATCAAGAACTGTCCTCAGTGGGAATTGAATGGAAGAAGGAAAGGGCTGAACGAAGGAACAGGTTCAACCCAAAAGAAACAAAGGATCAACAAAGGCTATGGTTGCTGCTTAGGGAGAAACATCAGATGAGGATTCGGAGGATGAAGCTGGAGATGAACAAGCACTTATGGCCATTGGAGAATCTGATGATGAACAAGAGGTAAGTGTCCTTCATCTCAAAGACAAGATTAAATTTCTGTCTAATGAAATACTATCTGAACTATGCTGGATTTCATCGATGAGTCTTAAATAATTAACAATGAGAAGGAAGAGCTGTCTAGGGAGTGTGTATTCTTAAAAGCCAAGTGCAAAAATCTAGAATCTAGGGCTAATGAGAGTGACAGTAAAAACGCTAAGTTGAAGAACCAGGTTCTTGAACTTGACACCAGTGTACTAGAACTTAGGTCTGAAAATTTAAAACTAAAATTAGGAACAGGTAAGAAGAAAGCTGATCATACACATCACACCTTAGAAGAAAACCTAGGAAAAATGAAGGATGAGTTGTATAAGAAAAATGAGCAGATAAGAGTCTTAAAAGAAGACCTAGGGAAGGTAAAGCAT